AAAGTTGGCAAAACTTAATTTATTTAATTCAGTTAATTTTCTGCTTCAATAAAAAAAATGGAATATGAGCAACTCTGGGAAAAGAACTTTCTCTCTGGCTTTGCAGATTGGTTTTGTTGCTTACTGGATTTTGTTTGTTGGATTGTTGATGTCTTCTGGGAAGTGTTCCTCATCATGTTGTAGCATTCTGGGAAGTCCTCTCATCGCACTGTAGGGTTGTTTACTGGTCATTGTAGCAGAGGTGGGTTCCTACCGGTTCGGACTGGTTTGGCCGAACTGGTAGTAAAAATCAGGGCTGGCTCTTTGAACCGGTAGTACTGGCAGGCTGGCCATGCCCCCAAACTGGTTCCTCGCTCGCTGCTCGCTCGCCCACCTGCGTCTGTCGGATGGCAAGCTGACCAGAGCTGGGAAGCAGCTGGCTGGCAAAGAAGCCTCTCAGCCGCCTCTTTGAGTGCCGGACGATTGGAGGCTTCGTTTCCACCCAGTCACTGGCTGCAGGGCACTAAAAAGTCCTCCAGACAATGAGAAGAAAGCTGCACATGTACAAAGATGGCAGCAGTGACCGGAGTTCTTTTTGGCGCCCTGTGACAGAGGCTGAGTGGAAAAGAAGCCTCTCAGCTTCCAAGTTCAGCAACAGGCTCGGTCCCTTCACAGGGCCGCTTTTCTCTGCGCCTGAGAAAGATCAAAAGGCGTGGAGCAGCAGCCTTTAAGGACAAAGCCAGCATAGCCACCTAGACACAAGTACGCATTCATGCTAGCCTACGCCTCCTCACCACCAGCCAGCGTCTCCTGAAGTTGCCGCTGTTGCAGCCGTGGCAGGGACGTGGCTGCCCGGCAAGCTTCATAGCCATGTGGCTACCTAGTCAACCTGGGCCATAGAACAGAAACTTTGAGCACAATTGTGGTCATAAGTTGAGGACTACCAGCATGGAAAATCTGTTGGCTTTGTATTAAATAAATGCAAGTATTCAATTGAGTTTTGTATTCATGGTGCATATGAGTATTGCAACTCTAATTCTCCCTTCCCACCATAACTGCAGCAGATCATATTCAGTGGTCCAATTTCAAAGGAGCCCTCCTAACCAGCCATTAACTTCACAGGTGCTGTTTCCTTTAAGCATGTGGAAATAATGAATGCAAAATTGGGCATGCAAGATTAGAGGTTGCAGGCTGAGATCCCACTCTGTTTTGCATGCTAGTCCCTATCTGTCTTTTTGTCAAAATCTCTTCCGTTCTTCCTTCCTTTCTTCCTCCCTCCCTCCTTCCCTTCTGTCTTCTTTAACCACTGCAAAAGGCACTGTTAAATAGGCGTGTTTAAGGGAACCTTTGACATTACCAACATCTAAGCACAAAGAAAAAAAAATTGAGATCCTGTAGTTTGTGCCGATAATGATATTTTGTACATATGAAACCAACCAATAAAACTAAAGTTAAAAGACTCGTAAAAATAGCAGTTATGAGACATGAAATGATTGGATAGGGAAGGAAGGGCATGCATAAAGAGGTCTTGGCTCTTTGATGTTTATTACCACTGTCGAGCAAATAGGAACAATGCTGTTTTTCATGAACACATCGCAGCATTTGGTATTTTACATTTGTTTCCAATTTTTAACAGTTAACATTGTGGGCTTTCATTATGCCATTGTCTCTCAAAATTGCAAGGGCCATCGTGGTTGTAATTTACCTTTTGTAGGGGATAATTTGTAGCAGTTTCAGGCTAGGAAGGAACATCTGCCTTGAAAAGCCGAAGATCTGGACACTTTTAAGAGTTCGAGACTGGGACATGTTAGAAGGTCAGTTGCCTCATAAACTCCCCTCATCGCGCTCAGTTTTATTCATTATATTCGACATATTAAGCTTCTGTATCTTGGCATAAAGAGACACAATATTGCAGCATATTGGCAAACTCATTTGCTTTTCCCTGCTAGTGTTGTGTCCAAATATCAATCCCCGGGGATAAACACGTGTATATAGACTGTAAGAAAATGAGCCTCAGCAGCAGGTGGCCTTTTGCAGCCTAATGAACACGGCAATCTGTTACTATCACCACACTGCTTTTCACCAGACAATTAGGCAACTAAGCATGTAATTATTCAGGCCAACGAGAAGTGCCTCTTCTCTAATTTCATCTTTTCATTGCTGTTTACTCACCCACACTCCCCTCATTAATGAGAGATTTTCCAGTCTATGCTAATTGGTTTCAATAACATTCATTTCAGTTGAAAGGGGAACGATTCTGTTAATTGGAGAATCGAAAGCGTCTTTTCATTTCAAGTGCGTCCTGCTATGGAAATCTGAATCCTCTCAACAGGTTCAACCTAATGAAATTAAGTTACACAGCCATTGGTGGCTTAATAGAAATAAAGTAATTTATTTTCATTGGAGCATGTGCTTGAGGTCCTGAACAATTAATACAGCTTGTACTGGAAAGAAATTGAAAATCAGGATTCTAAATAAACAAGGGTAGGGTCTGCTCCCCCAACCACACTTAGTTTTCCTTATTTAACTCCTTTTCTTTTGATTATGCAGCTAATCTACCCCACCTCATTTTAGAAATAGGTACAGAGAGACAGAAAATAATGGTGTTTAAAAATAACAACGAAACTTAACGCTGAATAAGTCAATTGAAATGAGAGCCATTTTAAAATTGTCATTGATCTGTCAAATTAGTATTATTTTAGACAATAGAAACCAAACAATGCATAGAAAAATCCAAATGAGCACATGCTGGTGATTAAAAATTTGGCTATGACTTGGTACATTTGGCTTTAATAATAATGAAAATCCCAAAAGCATGTGAGAGTCTGTTTCCTGGATTTGCAGATGGATGGAAACAAAATATTAGCATTGTTTTTTCCTACTGCTAAAACCCTCTATTGCCTGGAACCCATCCTTCTATATGTTGCTCTTCCATAGTCATTAATGTATGAAAGTCTAGGAAATCACAGCATAAAAACAAAACATTTCTATCCCCAAACATAATATCAGAGTATTGACATCAGGTTGCCAAAACATTTGAACATTTAATATCTTCATAAAAAACATGGAAGTGGTTAATTTCTTTTATCTAACAGATATCAGGCTTAAAGCATCTAGAGAAACCAAATGCTTCATTTTAGACATTTAACTCCAAAAGTGGTCTTGAAACAAACATAATGAATAAATCAGCATCCATGAGTCATAGCTCAACCATAGTCAAGCTGAATAGACACACTATGAATTCTTCTACCTTACGTTTGAAACACACCAAACTGGGGAAAGCTAGAAGTAAACAAATGAGCAACCTAGCACATAAACTACTCTGTACTATTCTAACAATGTTTTCTGTTCTTTCCCTGAACAAAAAGAAAAAAGAAAAATAAATAGATGAATATAACAATGTTAAATAAATTTATATTTGAGGTATTAAGACTCATGTTTAGTTTACAACAAATGATTATGTATGATTTGGTTTTTGTATTTATTGTTATTTACATTGGAAAGCCAGGTAGAATTCAATCAAATAATAAATGCATCAGTCAAAAGTTTTACAAGGGTTTGAGTTTCACTGTCTTCCGTTGCAGTTATATATTCTCAGTCTTTTTGGTGTGGTGGTGATCTGATCAAGACTGAAGAGAGAATTTCTGTTAGCACAGCAGGATAAAGATCCTTGCATGAATTGTGTCAGTCGTTTTGTAGGATACTTATAATACATTAAAATAATACAATAGCAGATTTGGAAGGGACCTTGGAGGTCTTCTAGTCCAACCCCCTGCCTAGGCAGGAAACCCTATACCGTTTCAGACAAATGGCTATCCAACATCTTCTTANTGAGAAAATATTAAAAGCTGTTGTACAATGATTGCAATCTATCTTTCTTAGGCAGAGGGGGATAGAAATATCAGCGAATAAGTCCTGTTAATTTTATGTGCAGTAGCTTTTAAAATGAAGCATGGGATTGAAATATGTTATGACTCAACTCATGGATAATGTGAAGGAAATGGAAAGGAATAGCATGAGGAAAATATTAACTGGTCCTGACATTACGGAAGGACTGCCCTGCAGGAAGAGACAAATATTTCTAGATAAATTAATGGAAAAAGAGAATGGAGAATTCTTACCCACGGTTTAAAAATGTTGCATATCTTTATGCATATGTTGGGCAAATCAGAAGTTGCTAGAGCGTTTACTGTTTATGTGACCTGCCTAAGGGAAAAGGCTCTACATTTTATAATGAAATATGAATTTTATGTTATTTTGGGACCAGAGGTCATATTTATACAATGGTATTTTTCCTCTAGCATATCTATCATGTTAAATTCTTAGTATTTGTATATATGTGTATGCATGTATGTATGTATCAGAGGTGGGTTCCTACCAGTTCACACCTATTCGGTAGAAACGGTTCGTCAAATCTACCGAACCGGTTAGAAGAAGCAGGCCACACCTACAGAAGAGCTTCCAAAAATTTTTGAAACCCACCACTGGCAAGGATCTTGTAACTTGACAGCTTTAAGACTTGCATGCTTCAATGCCAGAGTTTCTGAATAGCTACTTAGACCGACCTAAGTACTAATTTATAATTTCATATCCGGTCACATGGGTGGCAAGCCACTCCCACAAAGGAGGCACACCCACAGAGTAGGTTCCAACAATTTTTGAAACCCACCACTGGTATGTATGTATATATTCACTATCCCATGTGGGAAAGATTTTAATTAAGAACAGATTTCCTGTTCTCGAGTACACACTCATACCTAAGTCTATAGCAGAATAAAGACTCTGCACAATTTAAGCACATAACCAAATTTCTCTTTAAAGTGCTAAATCAGTACCTTTAACATATTTAAGGATTCCTGTGGTTGCCTAACATAAATTTAATTGTCAAATTAAATGAATGCTTTTTTGAGATTGTTATTTCTATTTAAATGCTTCTTTCTTGTCTCCTTGAATTCTTTTATACCTGTTGCAGAGATTTTTTGTTGTATCGAATTATTGTATTCTTCCATTTCATTTTTCAGACTCACCCAGCAATGCTGAAATTTCTTATACGAGCCGAAAGTGAACAACTTGTCATCAGTCTGGAGAGAAATGAGTAAGTGGTTGTAATTGGTATTCCCTGCAGTATAGCAGTGCTATAGATTACTAAGTTAAAATTGATGGTTCATATTTGTAATGTGTAGAGAGATGGCTTCTGCTTTCTAGCTTTGGAAAAATAGGCTGGTATAACAATAATTCCAAAGGTTTATTTCATTATTTAAAACAAGGTGGCAATTTTGTGAGATTTTGTGCACACATCATGTATCTTTCTTGGCATTACTTTAAGCTTGTTTTACTTTCACAGTTAAATAAATCTGCTTGTTCACATTATGATAAATAATTTTAGACAGATATTGCTTTGCTTTGATATGATTTCATAGTTTGAAATGAGTTAACCTGTGTAGGACAATCATTTGTTTGCTATTCACTTTTTGTGATTTAAAAAAAACTTAAATTCTCTCTGACCTAATAGTTGGAAGGTAGGAAAACTGAGAGAAATATAATAAATTTTACTAAACCACCTCATAATTATAGTCTTGCTTATTTCAAGAATGGCAGCATAGTGATCTTAGTCTTGTAGAATCACCCATCAGTTCATCAAAGATTAATAAGAGAATGGCAAAAGGACTTGGTCTATATTATCATCTTTCTCTACAGTGATATGCTGATCCTGGCACAGGGACTTGGTGTATCATATCTGTTTTTCTCAGAAGGATGTAGATGACAACTGTCTGCGCATATACACAATTCTTCTACACAATCAGGAGCATTGCCTCTTTTTAGGATAGAAAAATCAATAATTTGCTTAGGGATAAAGGAGCTGTTTACTTGGTACCAGTCTGACACTCCCAAATGTCATTACTTAATTGACTGAATGCACTGACATTTTAAAATCTATACCTTTTATTGCTGGCATCTGAAAATATAATTTTTCCTCTCTATTTACTCCAACTGACGGATTGTGAAATCCTTGACTTGGTAAAACTGGAAAATAAACCATATGTAATCTTCTATTTGTAAGCCTTGAGTCATCCTACACTGGGTTAGGTGATTACATGTTACTCTTTTTATAGACTCTTGGCTGAAATGGTGTGGCTGCGTAGTCCATCCATCCAAAACATAGTATGGGCAAACATGTCTTCAAATTAAAAATGAGAGTGAATGAGCAAGATTAAAAATTCCCATTAAAATGTGTTGGTCTAGAACTCTGCCTCTAAATGCAAGCACATAACTAGAATGGAGCAGAATTTGACCTGTTCCTCCCTAGTTGCCGGGAATGAGGAGATATATTCACAGAGGATTCTTGAGCAGTTATAAACATCAAGAAAGGAAGTTGCCACAGCATAACCAGTATATGAAACTCTCATTACATATATAACGTGAGTCAGGTGATAAGGGTCTGGCATGTAACACTAAAATAGGAAACTAATTACCTGTACAAATTCAAGACTGTTAGAGGGAAGAAAATAGCAACAGCGCTTAGACTTACATAGTCCTCCATAATGCTTTACAATAGCTTCCTGCCCTAGTAGGAAGATGAAATTGGGGTTACAAATTATACTTCTATGTTGTGACTCAGCAGAATTTTGCTGTGAGTTGAGTCGGGATGCAGGAATAACAATGCAGCTGGGGCTATTTTCTTCCCTCTAACAGTCTTGAATTTGTACAGGTAATTAGTTTCATATTTTAGTGTTACATGCCAGACCCTTATCACCTGTCTCACGTTATATATGTAATGAGAGTTTCATATATTGG